GTTGCTTCAAGTGGTATTGCTTCCTTATTATTGCCCGGTGGTAGAACAGCACACTCTCGATTTATAATTCCATTTGAGCTTACAGAGGATTCTTTTTGTAACATAAATCCAGACGGTGAGTTGGCAAGCTTAATAAGGAAAACCTCTTTGATAATTTGGGATGAAGCACCTATGGTCCATAAGCATGCATTTGAAGCTTTAGATCGAACTTTGAAGGATTTATTAAGGTGCGTAAATTCAACCATCTCAAATATTCCATTTGGAGGGAAAGTTATTGTCTTTGGAGGAGATTTTAGACAAATTCTACCTGTTGTGCGGGTGGCAGTAGACAGAACATTGTAAATGCTTCTTTGAGTTCTTCATATTTATGGGAACATTGCAAAGTCCATAGATTAACAAAAAACATGAGGCTAACTGTTGGAAGGGATCAATCAGATATAGGAAAAATAAGAGATTTTGCAAATTGGTTGTTGGATATAGGAGAAGGAAAACTTGGTGGTCCGAACGACGGTGAAACGATTATCGATATTCCGGATGATATTCTCATTAATGATTCACATGATCCTATAGGTTCCTTAATTGAGTTTGTATATCCTTCAATTTTAGAGTACTATAGCGATATAAATTATTTCCAAGAAAGAGCGATACTTGCTCCAAAAAATGAAGTTGTCCAGGAAATAAACGACCGTTTACTTAAGAAGTTTCCAGGAGATCAAGTTGAATATTTAAGTTCAGACTGCATATGTGAATCCGAATTTCTCCATGATCAATTTGATGCAAATCTATACTCTCCTGATGTATTAAATGGACTCAAAGTATCCGGTTTACCAAATCATAAATTAGTTTTAAAAATTGGTGTTCCAGTAATGTTACTGAGAAATATTGATCAGAAAAACGGCTTATGTAATGGCACAAGACTACAGGTGTTATCATTGGGCAAACGTGTTATTGAGGCACGTATAATAACTGGAACTAATATTGGAAATCGGACTTTTATTCCAAGAATGTCTTTAACTCCATCAGAAAAAAAGATTCCCTTCAAATTCACAAGAAGACAGTTTCCTTTGGCTGTATGTTTTGCAATGACTATTAACAAAAGTCAAGGACAATCGTTGTCAAAGGTTGGTCTGTTTCTGAAAGATCCAGTTTTTTCACATGGACAATTGTATGTTGCCTTATCTAGAGTTCAGAGTAGAGAGGGATTAAAATTATTAATTTTAGATAAAGATGGCAAACTCACAAATAAAACTTCCAATGTTGTTTATAAGGAAGTTTTTCGAAATTTGTAGCCAACTTTTTTGTAACGTCGTTTTATTCAATTTTAGGAAATCACACTTAATCCATCATATTACTGTATTTTTTTATAATTACGTATTGTTGTATTTTATGTTAATTTCATTACACACATTGGTATTGTATCATCTGCATATGTCCAATTAGAATGATGAATAAAAAAAATAGTTTTCAAAAATCTTCATTCCTAATTAAATACTTCCCATTTAGTTAGTAATTAAATAATTACCAATAAAAAAATTATTTAAATATTCAATATTACAATTTATAAGTTATCAGAATTATTGATATAATATTTTATTAAATAATTAATTTTTAAATTCAATTCAAAAACAGCACCCGTGGTTCCACGGGTTTTAACCTAGTATATATATATATATATATATATATATATATAATATATATATATAATATATATATATATATATATATATATATATAAGTCCATAGCCTCTTATTTATTTGGTGAATTTGGACAATTCGAAAGACACTAGAAGAAGTAAGAACAGGTTCGTTTTTTTTATTCTACTGGTAATATTTATAATTCTTAACTATTAGTACTTTTATAATAATTAGTATTTTTTCTAGTTACATTGTTATTGGTATTGCTTATTCAACATTTTGATATAGTCAATTAGATTTCTAGAGTTCTTTTATCATAGTTTTAATTTTTATTGAGGATTTGGTTGACTATTGTTATTTTATTTTCAGGAATTATGCCTCCTAAGTATTAATATGGTAGTCAAAAACGTAAAACGAGAAAAAGAATGGAAGAATCAACAAAGGCTAATAGTGGTTCTCTAGATAAGTTTTTCCAAAAAAACACTTGAAGTTCCTTAATGATGTTATTCTTGATATTCCTGATAGTGGTTCTCAAAATCAAAAATAATGGTGATATTCCAGATAGTTTCGGTGTTGATGTCGAAGGAGATCAAATTAATGATGTTAATGTTGATAATGTTAATGTCGATGGAGATCGTGTTGATGTTGATGATGGTGATGACATTGAAGATGATGATGATGATGATGATGATGATGATGATGATGATGTTAATGTTAATAGTAACAATGTTGATATATTCAATCCAAGAAATTGGGATGGACTAAGCACGGACATGGTGAAAAGTTTGGTAGAGAAAGGTCCTAAAAGAGATAATATTATTGATAAGGGTTCCACCTGATAGATTTTCTAGACGGTTTTCTGCAACTATGTATACTAGAACTCTACCAAATAAGCAGACATGTGACAGAGAATGGCTAGTGTACTCGAAAGAGCTTGATAAAGTTTTTTGTTTTTTGTTGTAAAATATTTAGAAAAGGGATCCCGAAAGGTTAATTGGATAGTGAAGGTTATGCAGATTGGCAACATCTTAGTACAAGACTTAACGAGCATGAAGTTGGTTTAGATCATCTCACAAATTTAGCTACTTGGTTTGAAATGCGTGAAAGAATGAAAGTTAATGAAACAATTGATAAAGTTGTGTATGATCAATTTAAGGAACAAATGGAGCATTGGAAACAAGTACTATTGAGGATTATTGCACTAGTGAATTATCTTGCTAAATATAATTTAGCATTTCGTGGAACAAATGAAAAATTATATAAAAAAAGTAACAAAAACTTTCTTGGAGCGATTGAGATGTTTGAAGAGTTTGACCTAGTTATGAAAAAGCATGTGCATCGTATCAAAAATGATGAGATCCATATACATTATCTTTTCCACAATATCTAAAATGAGGTGATACTTTTACTAGCCGATGAAATTAAACGAGAAATCATTAAAAAAGTAAATGAAGCAAAATATTAATCTATCATACTGGATTGTACCCCTGATACAAGTCACCAAGAACAAAGTGTCTTTGATAGTGAGGTATGTAAAATTCTCCTCTAATGATGTTACTGTTGATGAATCCGTTTTAGGTTTTTTGAATGTTAATAATACCACTGGTAAAAGGATCTTTGATATTACACACAATGAATTAAAATTTCTTGGTCTTGATATTGATGATATGCAGGGGCAAGGGTATGATAATGGATCAAACATGAGAGGAAAACATCAAGGAGCTCAAAAGAGATTTTTAGACATAAATTCTAGAGCATTTTATACTCCATGTGGTTTTCATAGTCTTAATCTTGCACTGTGTGACATGGCTAACAGCTGTAGTAAAGCTAGAGATTTTTTTGGAGTCATACAAGAAGTATATACAATATATTCCAATTCTACTAAGAGGTGGCATATTTTGAAAGAGAATATCAAAGGTTTAACTCTAAATTCATTGCCTGCCACTCGGTGGGAAAGTCGTGTTGATAGTGTGAAGGCTATTAGACAACTTCCGGATTTAAGAGAAGTTTTACATGAAGTTGCGGAAAAAGACAACGATGCTAAAATACAAAGTGAAGCTAAATCGCTAGCAAATAATGAGTTTGGTGGATTTGAGTTTTTAGTATCCATAGTCATTTGGTATCAAATATTGTACATGGTGAACTTAGTTGGCAAACAATTACAATCAAAAGATATGTTTCTCGATATTACTATTAACGAAGTGAATATGCTAATTGAGTACTTCAAGCAGTTTAGAGAAATAGGGTTCTCCATGGCGATTGATGATGCGAATGAACTTTCCATTGAAATGAATGGTGATCCGGTATTCTCTCAAAAGCGGTCGGTTAGTAGAAAAAACAATTTGATGATAATTCAATCAAGATGTTGTATTTTCAGCCGAGGAGAATTTTAAAGTTAATTACTTTCTATATATTGTTGATCGAGCTAGTGCTTCTCTTAAAACAAGATTTCAACAATACGAAGAGTATGAAATATTTTTCGTTTCTTGTTTCCAAATTTTTTTTGAAGGAAATTGATGACAAAGATCTCAAGTTATGTTGTAGCCGTTTCGAAGCCGCACTTAAGTTTGGTGAACAATCAGATATCAATTATGATGAATTTTGTATGGAGTTAAAGTTGCTTGATATGTTCTTACCGAGTGAAATTACGAGCCATATTGATGTTTTAAAGCATATGAAAAAAGTCGATTGTTTTCCTAATGCAATTATTGCCTATAAAATCTTGTTGAATATTCCTGTAACGGTCGCGTCTGCAGAAAGATGTTTTTCAAAGCTAAAGTTGTTGAAATCCTACCTACAGTTTACAATGTCACAAAAAAAAACTTAATGAATTGACGATAATAACTATTGATTATGAATAATTGCTAAACAATTTTGCTTTCAAGAATGTTAAGAGAGTCTCGCTACTTATGTAGTTGTCTAAGATTATCTATTGTATGACCGTTTTTTGTTTTGCTTCATCATATTATAACAATGAAATAATTAATGAATTTTTGGTATAAATAAAAATTAAATATATATTTAGGGGCCATTTTCGCACCGGATCCTAAAATCACGCCTGTTGACGGTTGAGGGGAAAATTTAGCGTAAGGAAAGTGTGGGACTGTCGTCTGATTACAAGGTTTGGTCTTGAAAATGTTGTCTATTACCCCCTAAAAGGAAAGGAAACTTTTAATTTCCGACGACGCTTTCTACTTTTGTGTTTGAGAACTGAGAGTTGAGACATGGTATTCGTTTATTATTGGGAAATTTGCACGTGTACAGTGATTGTGAAGGTAGCAATCGGTCCTCTTAAGTACGACTACAGTAAAGTTATTCAGATATCGTAAGTAAAGTTATTCAGATATCGTAAAATCTGTGAGAACTCAGAAGGAGCTAAGTACCCAGTGTTGACCATCGGCCTTAACTTGAAGGCCGTTGACTCGGGCAAACATATTAACCGCCCGTCTAACACCTCTGTTATCCAATGCCGTAAAATAATCATGTCCGAAAATAACCCCACCTGGTCTCAGTAGTTTATATGCACGATTAATGTCCGACCATGCAGAGTGAAAATCATGGCCGGCGTCAACTTCAATCAGATCACCAAACACACCCCACTCACAGAGCTTCTCCAGAGTTGACGCCGTCGAAAATGGCAAAAAGATAATGGCTTCCGTTGCATTAACCTGAACCACGTTTTGCATGAATTGATACATCAGCATCGTGTCACCATTAACCATTTTAATGTCTTGAAACTGGTTTGGTAAACCGGCCCAACCACGAAAATCATCGAGGCAAAGAATTTGAGTGTCGAGACCGAGTTCACGGGTCAATTCAGCCATGTGTATAGCTGAGGCGCCAAGGAAGGTGCCCAATTCTATGATGGTCTTCGGTCGTACTTTATGAATCAGGTTCTTGAAGACAGCCCCGGTTGATCCCCAGCCGTTGATTCTTTTCTGGCGTAAGAGTGGTTTGATATGGGGCTGAGGGAAATCATGATAGGGGGATGTTCCGTTGAAGACGTAGTTGAGGATTGTCTCGCGGATGAACTGGGAGGGAATCGGAACAGCGCATCGAGTCTGGAATTCGTAGTGGTCGACGGCAGCTTTTGATGGTGGGCTGGATGTGGTCATGGAGTATTGCTGGTGTTGTTCGTGTGTTGGATTGTTTTCAACAGCTGATAAGTAGCCAAGGTAATAGGACAGGCAGAGGAGGAGGACAAAGTAACTTGCCGGCTTGATGAGGCCACGGCGGCGGAAAACATTAATGTATTTACGGGTGGCGGCGATGACGGCAGCAGGGAAGTTAGCAACCATGTTTTCTTTTCGTCGGTGGTGGTGATGAAGTGTGGCGAGGTGAGTCGAAGTGATTCTTCTACCGACGGTGGAGTCGGTGTTCTGTGGTGGTGGTGAAAGATGGGATGAGTAAAAGAAGTGTATGGATCGGAGGAAGACGATGATCGAAAAAGATGATTACAAAATAATCACTTTTATTTTTTAAATTCTTTTACTTGTCTAATAATCCAGTGATTTTTTTTAATTTATAGGCCATGGGTGATATTTAAGTCTACATTTAATTATGACTACGAGTAATGTAGGTTTTTATTGCGTATAAATTCAGTTTAGATGTCTGGATCTATCTGACAATGATATCGGCCGCCATGTCTCCATCGGTGGCGAGGCAGAGATTGCTGAACTTTTGATAATATGTTGCAAAACCAGATTAAATTAGGTGTCTTTAAAAATATGTTTATATAAATTTGGATAATTTCGTAGCATCTCTCACAACCAATTCGATTGAATTAATTATCTTGTATACATTCATACAAAAATGATATCATATGATGTATTTAATATATTTTTTATGATTTATAATAAAGTTTTTATTCATTTAATTAAAGAGAATACGTATTGTCCCCTCATCTTTACTCCCACTTAGGCTCATCTTTACTCCGCTTAAGCATTGTATGTTTTTTCTTTTTAGATAAAGTGTTTGCAGTCTGTGGATTATATCTGCAAACTTAAACAGTAGAAAATGTGGACCAAACGTCTGCAATCTAAAAGAAAAATATTTTTTGTTTTTAACATCTGTAAACTGTTAGAATAAACTAAAATCTAATTATACTGATTTTTTTAAAACTTAAATTAGTTTTCAATAATTTTATGACTTTATTATAGATAATTAACAAATATAGACCGACTTTTATGTATTATTGTATAAAAAACGAAATTAAAATGGTATGAATTAACGTATATATTTAATAAAAACCAATAAACTTTGGTTGCAAATATATATATCTAAATATTGTAATTAAGGATAAATGAATTTAACATATAAAATGGATGAAAAGAAATTTTGATTTTAAATGAAATTTTCAAAATTTTCATTTTACCTTTTCAATTAAATCAATTAAAAAAATAATCATAAATATTTATTTCAATAGATAAATGATATTTCATTAAATAATGATTTATAAAATATGATACAAAAAATATAACACAATATTACGATTTTTTTCATAGCTATATAAACAGCTGTAACGACCTTTATTGTAATTAAATTTTTATTTATAAATTTGTAACAAAGGTCATGATTGTGTCGTTAAACTTTTTTTCTTGAAGTATTGTAACTTTTTTTTTTTCCAAATCGTTTACCATAGATAAAGTTGAAATAAATCTAAGTTTAAAAAATAAAAATAAAAAATAAACCTATGATATATGTGTTTTTTAAGCAAGAATATGTCTAAAGATGTTTGAAGACTTTGGTCCACATCTGCGCCAAGAAGAGGACGCGCAGACCATTTTAGGTCTGCAGTCTTCAAAAATACAAACAGTTTGAGAAGCCTAATGTCTGCACGTGGTTTGCGTGTCGCAGACAGAAGAAGACAAAAAGATTTGTAGACAAAAAAAAAATACCTTACTTTACTATTGTATTTAGTCGTTCTTTATTTTTCCTCTTATTTATCCCTAACTTCTTAAAACTTAAAAAATTGTCACTTCTCAATTCCTCGTAATTTTTAAAAATAAATTGAAATACATATTATAATTTTATAAAGGGTAATCTTAGAATTGGTCTTTAAGATTTAAAGGAATATCAAGTTTAGTTCATAACTTTTTTTCAGGCTTATGAAGGTTTATGTGGTTTTATTTTCTATCGTAGTTGTCATTCACCCATGTAAAAATATTTTTATACCATTTATAATTTATTTTATGCTTTTCTTTATATAAAATTATTTTTTTAAAGAGATAAATAATAAAAAACATACATCCCATTTTCTTTCCCACTCCATTCTTTATCTCTCTACCCACCAACTCCATCCTCCACCTTCATTACCATAAAGAATTAGTCGGAAACCACTAAACAACCACTTCGTGTCGTAGCATTGTCAATGAACCACCACCAATCGAACAGTTATAGGGTCCGACCAAAACCGCAACCCTCGATTCCCCTTCCTTCGCTGTTAACCACCAAACGGTGTCGCCTCCAAAGTCATTGAAAATCAGATACCACTGTTCCAGACAATGGTTTTTGCTTAAATTATCTCCATTGGACTCTTCTCGATGTGTAGAAAAACTACAACCAACCACAACCCCGAACAATCACCAGAGCTATCTTTCTTGGTCACCCCATGCCGCTACCATCTTCGCCCTTTTCAACCATTTTTGACACCCAAATTTAAAACCAAGGCCACTACTAGAAGCATTGAGAGGTGCGTAGAAACCCCACTAAGAAAATCCTCATAGCATCCCGCTGGAATTTTTTCGCCACAACATCTCGTCTGATATACTTCGTCTCAGATATACACCTCCACCGAAAACCACTCAATGCCTTTGGCCGCCACTCATTCATGTCTGAGAACCAACACGACCACATAAATGAAGTTCTTGAACCCTTATTTTTCATATATGCATATCATTCCATATATGCATCGTTTCATTATGCTTGAATTGTTTTTTTACTGCTCGATTTCTCAAATCTACAACTAGGATGGTGCCAGGTTCTGACAGCGTTACTCATTGGCCCTCCAATTTTTCTGAGGGCGGTTCAAAGGTTCTGACAGCTACAATTAGGATGGTGGACGGTAAAGGTGTTGGTCATGGTGGTTCATGGTGGTAGTAATGATGGTGTAAGCCCCTTTTGATCTAAAACTAATATAAATATTAATATAAATTCAACTTAACAAGAAAGAAAAATGTAAAACAAATCTTAAAAGGTGTATGTAGCATCCCCATTTTTGACCCAAAATTTTCATTTTTATTTATCCAGATATATCATAGTATAATTACATTATGCGGTAACATGTTATGATTTCCCATCTGTACAGTCGAACCTTTCCCTTCTCACGAATCAATGAAGTATCTGGAAAACATTTATAAATAACTGGGTAAGCACGAAGCTTAGTGAGTTCTCCAAAATATCATATACCACATTACATATACATTCATATAAATAATGGCTCACGATCTGCCAATAATATGCGTATCTTAGATTCATGGCCCGACCATTTCGTCTTCAACACGGATCTACGTGTACTTATGGCCTAGATGTCATTTCATTAACATGGGTCTATGTGTACTTATGGCCTACATGCCATTTCTTCAACACGGGTCTATATGTACTTACGGTATGCATGTCATTTCGTCATCATGGGTCTATGTGTACTTACGTGTAACATCCAGAAAAATTCAAGCTAATTTAAAGCTTTTTGAATCATTTAATTATTACAAAGTTTGTTTTAAAAATAGTTTAATCATCAGAGTATCCCAAGAATCAAATCATGAAAATATAAGGAGGTGCACGATCCCGCCTTCGCCTTCCCGCGATCATCAGAAGTACCTGAAACATAATCAACAACTATAAACCTGAAGCTTAGTGAGTTCCCCCAAAATACCAACGACATACATATATAACCATATCATATAAACAAACAACATGTATAATGAGCCTTCAGCATGACTAGACCGCTTCGTAGGCCTTCAGTATATCTGGACCTCTCTCCGAGCCTTCAGCACGTCTGGACCGCCTCGTAGGGCCTACATCCTATCCAGACCACTTGCCGGGTGTTCGGCCTGACTGGACCACCTCGCAGGGCCTTCAGTCTATCCGGACCGCCCTGGTATGTTGGCCTTCGACACAAAGCAGGACCGCCTCAACCTAACCCCCAATCAAACAATCATGTGCACATAAATATCATACGCTAGCATATATAACAGTCAAATCGATCTAACAGATCACTAATCATAGCAACATCCTATAATCAGGATACCGACCTAATCGGTCTCTAACATAACATTATCCTATATACCAGGATACCGACCTAACCAGTCACTAAGCATACCACCATCCTAACTATCAGAATGTAAATCAATAACATATCATGTAAATAACCCGAATATAAATTCGAAAAGGGCCGACATTGGTGCATTCGACCCTGTTAGTATAGTAAGGACAACTCACCTCACACTGCTAAAGTCCTGGATAAACTCCAGCTGTTGGATGACACATTCCTGAACTGTCAACATCAAACGATTACCCAATTAATAATTGGGTTCCAAGCCCAAGGTCAAACTCACACTCCAAAAGCCCCAATAGTTAAGTAATGGGACAAAGCCCAACATATGGCCCGATTTTCCAAATTAGGACTAACCTTTACATGGTCTTACCCTGAGGCCCAACCATTTAGTCCAGTCCAAACATTTGACATTTCAATTGGTCCAACCTTTCATAACCCTCAAGGCCCATTTATGGAAAATTGGACCAAAACCTCACATGGGCCTTACTCTAAAGCCCATCCAAATATTTTAGTCAATTTACTTGTTCTTGGATAGCCCATCAGTAGTGTAACTCTTGGTTCCCTGGTGCGCATTTAATTTAATTATTTATTTATTTTGAAAGAAGGACTTGACGAGTTGGTAGCCCTAACTCATCAAGTAGAGGGCAGTTTATGCGTGGGGTTTAAGTTATCGACTCGACGAGTAGCCCGGCCAAGGTGAAACCCTGATTTCGTAGTTTTGCACCCTATTTAAGCATCCTAATCCCCAACCATTGGCCTTATTTACAACCTCATTGTCCCAAACCCTCATCCACGAAACCCAAGACTGTTCCTTGAGTGTGAGAGCCATTTTGAGTGTTCTTTGTGTCTTTTAAAGCTTGTGAAAGAAGAGGAAGGTATAGGAATCAAGAGAGAAGGAGTAGATCTAGAAGCTTCATCCCTTTAGCTGTAATTTCTGGTAATAAAGCCTCAAACTTGATCATTCTTTTCTTAGATCTATTCATTTCCATTTTATGTGTGTTTTTAGTCCAAGATTGATAGTTT